TCTTCCTCTTCCATCTCCTCTTCCTTCTGCTCCATCTCCTCCTCCTCATCTCTTCTCTTTTTTCTTCTCCTCCTCCTCCTCATCATCTCTCCTACTGTTCCTCATCTCTCCTCCTCCTCCTTATCATCATCATCATCATCGTCATTATCATCTCTCCTCCTCCTCCATCTCTTCCTCCTCCACGTCCTCCTCTTCCATCTCCTCCTCCGTCTCCTCCCTCTACTCCTCCTTCTCCTCCTCTTTTTCTTCCTGGTTCTACTCCTCCATCTCTTCCTCCTCCACCTCCTGCTCCATCTTCTACTCCTCCTGCTCATCTCTCTCCTCCTCCCTCTTTTTTCCATCTCCTCTACTTCTCCTTTTTCTCCTCCTCCTCCATCTCCTCCTGTTGCTTCTTCTCCTGCTCCTTCTCCTCCTCCTCCTCCTCCTTCATCTCCTCTCCTCCTCTTCCAACTCCTCCTCCTCCATCTCCTCCACCTCCTCCATCTCTTCGTCGTCCTCCATCTCCTCCACCTCCTCCTCCTCCTCATCCCTCCTTTTCCTCATCTCTTCTCCTCTTCCTCCTCCTCCTCCTCCTCATCTCTCCTTCTCCTCCTCCTCTCCCTTTCTTCTTCTCTTCCTGCATTTCCGCCTCCTCCCTCTCCTTCTCCTCCTCAACATCATTTTTCCTCCTCCTCCTCCCCCTCCTCCATCTCCTCCTCCTCCTCTTCTTCCTCGTATCTCTCCTTCTGCTGCTCCTTCTCCCCATTCTTCTCTTTCTCCTCTATCTTTTCCTGTTTCTCCTCCCCTCCTTCCCTTTATATGTTCTCCTCCCCATAATCATCATCATCATCTCTCCTTCTCCTCCTCCTCCTTCTCCGTCTCCTCCATCTTTTAATTCTCCTCCTCCTCCTCTTCCTCCTCCTCTTCCTTCTCCTCCTGCATTTCCTCCTCCTCTTCCTCCTGCTCTTTCCTCTCCTCCTCAGGCTCATATATCTCCTCTTCCTCCTTCTCCTTCATCTCCTATCCTTCTCTCATATCTCCTCCTCCTCTTCCATCTTTTCCTCCTCCTCAATCTACTTCTCGTCCTCCTCTTCCTCCATCTCCTCCTTATCCTTCATCTCCTCTTCCTTTTCCTCCCTCTCCTTTTCCTCTTCCTCATCTCTCCTCCTCCTCCTCCTCCTCCATCCTTTCTTCCTCCTCCTCTTCTCCTCCCTATCCTTCTCCTTCCTCTCCTCCTCCTTCTCCTCCTCCTCCTCTTCCTCCCACTCCTTCTCCTCCTCCTCCTTGTCCTTTTTTCCTCCATCTTTCTCTGTTCCTCCTCTGTCTCCTTCTTCATTCCTCCCTCTTCTCTTCCTCCTCCTCATCTCTCCTCCTACTCCATCTCATCAACATCATCTCTCCTCCTCATCCTCCTTCTCCTGCCTCTCCTTCTCCTCCTCCTCTTCCTGCCTCTCCTTCTCCTCCTCCTCCTCCTCCATCCCCTCCTCCTTATCTCTCCTTTTTTCCCCTCAACATCATCTCTCTTCCATCTCCTCCTCCACCTCCTCCTTCTCCTCCTCCATCTCCTCCTCTTCCTTCTCCTCCTCTGCCTCTCCTGCTCTTTTTCCTCCTCTTCCTCCTTCATCTTCTCCTCCTCCTCCTTCTCCACCTCCATCTTTTCCTCCTCCTTGCTCTTCTCTTTCTCCTTCATCTCTTCCTCCTTCTTCTCCATCTCATGCTCCTACTCCATCTCCTTTTCCTACTCATGCTCCTTCTCCTCCTCCTCATCTCTCTCCTCCTTCTCCTCCATCTCCTCTTCCTCTTCCATTTCCTCTTCCTCTTTCTCCATCTCCTCTTCCTTTTCCTTTCCTTCCTCCTCCTACTCCTCCCCATCCTTCTCCTCCTCCATCTCATCCTCTTCTTCCATCTCCTCCTTCTTTTCCTCCATGTCTTCCTTCTTCTCCCTCTCCTCCTCCTCCTCATCATCATCATGTCTCCTCCTCCTCCTTTTTCTTTCCCCCCTCCTCCTCTTCCTCTTCCTCCTCCTCCTCTTCCTCCATCTCCTCCTCCTACACCTCCCTCTCCTCCTCCTCCTCCGACTCATCCTCCTCATCGTCATCATCTCTCCTACATCTCCTCTTTCTCCTCATCCTACATCTCTTCCTCCTCCTTTTCCTTCTTCTTCTTCTCCTCCTGCTCATCTCACCTCCTCCTTCTCCCCCATCTCCTCATTTCCATCATCCTTAAGGCCCTAAGCCACTTAGCCAGACCCTGTGTAAAAGTAAAAAAGAGCTGGAATTTTGGCTCAGTGGTTAGGCAGCGCTCAGTTAAATCCCTGGTATCAAAAACCCCACATATTTGTATATAAAGCAATACACCATTAGTTGTCCCCAACTCCCTTTGTCTTTTTGTGCCCGGAAAGTCTTCTTGGATTGAGTGCATCTTGGACGTAGACACTTTTGACTTTACCTAAATCAACACTGTTTCTTTCTCTCTTGGTCAGGGTGACCCCTCCCCGACCTCCTGTGTGTCCAGGGTGGTTCAGGTGCATGGATTCGGGATCTGCCACATCCACGGTCTGAGGCTGTACATGTGACTCTCCATTTTGCTCTCCTTGCCCTCAGGCTGCCTTCCTTACGTCTCAATTCTACATTTAAGGAAAATACTATATTCTCATACCCAGCCATGTTTGGTATTTTATTTAGAGTCAGGCTCTCATTGAGTTGCTTAGCACCTCATTTTTGCTGATGCTAGATTGAAACTAGCAATCCTCCTGTCTTGGCCTCCTGAGCCTCTGGGATCACAGGCATGAACAAACATGCTTGGTCTAACCCTCTGATTTGTCAACTTCTTCATTGGATTGATAGTAGGTTGGAGTCACCATCTGGAGTTATTCTCTCAGGCCCATTACAGTTATGCTCACACCCACCTTCTTTGAACCACAATAAAAAGGGATGCTCAGTGGCAAAGTGCCCCTGCCCTCAATTCAATCTCTACCATGGGGGACAATAAAGGCACATGGAATTCAATTCTCAGCCCTGGGCAGCTATGTGTCCACTTTTCCACACCTGTGGGAATAGGACTTTTTACACAATAGCCCCCCCTTGGCCTTGGGCAATATTGTTAGGTAGAATGAACTTGGGCCAGTGAGCAGGATGTGATAGACTTCACAAAGCCAAACTTGAGAGTAGAGAATAAAGTTGTACTTAGTTTCCAAGAGGGGGATAGACATGACATGCAGTATTGGCCCCAAGTGGCAATTTTTTATGGTTTATATGCAGGGTTAATGGGCCCAGCTGAGCAGGGTTTTGGTTTCTTTCTGGTTGGACTATCAGTTGAAACCCAGGATGCTGAGAGTGCTGGGTCAACTTATGGGGGTATGTTGCTTCCTAGGGCTTGTGGCTTTTCTTGAAAACCTTGACATGGAAAGAATACACTGGAGGGGGACATGCTCCTGACAAAGTGAGGTCAGTCTTTGCAATAGAGTGACATGTGTAAAGGGGGCAAGTGAGCGTGAGCTCACAGACAAGTTATAAGACCACAGATGCCTGAAGCTTAAATCCTACAGATAATACTAAATCCTAGATACAATTTCCCCTATCCATACATGCCTATGATTACCCTTTCTATAAAATCTCAAAGTCCTTGTCAGCATCTGAAGACAGGGTAAGGACAGGGTTTCCTTGTCTTCCTGGTGTAGCTGCACTGGTCAAAGTTTCTTTCCTGCTTTGCATCATAACCTTTTCTGTTTGGTTTTGGGTGAACACCTGACCAGACCTGTGGGGTCACCAGAGTCACATCTCTGCAGAAGACTCCCTAACAGTCGAAGTAGAACATCGACACTAAGCACAAAGCACCCATTTTATTTCCACCGCACATTGCTGCCCTAGAGGATCGCCCTCCTTCCTCCCCCACCCTTTCTGCTGGGAATGGAACCCTGAGCATCAGAGCCAAATCCCAATTGCTTCCTTTCATAGATCAGGAGCCTCCTCAAAGCAACAGAGGCCAGGAGGTGAGGAGAATTACTAAATAGTTTTCAAATTGTTTTCATTTTTAGATATTATATATGGGTCATATATATGATATCTTTAAATAGTGTTTCAAAAATTTGGAGACCGTGTCTTTCTAAGTCGCTTGAGGTCGCCTCAGCTGGGGGGAAAAAAAAAATATATATATATATATTTCATATATTATATATATATATATATATATATATATATATATATATATAATATGTTATATATATAATATTCTGATTAGATGTACTTGGTGTGAGAAATATATATATTATATATATATACTTCATATCTATAAAATATATTTTATGGATATAAATATATATATATAAATATATATTTTGTATATATAAAAATATATATTTTATATATTATATATTATATATAAAATGTATAAAAATATATTATATACAATGTCTATTATATATAGAATATTTTATATAAAATACATATTTTATATATAAGATATATAATATATATTATATATTTTATATATACAAAATATATATACAATATATAATATGTATTGTATATATATAATATATAATAAAATATCGTTTATTCTTTTTTTAAGGTACTGGGGAATAAACCCAATGGGGCTTGACCCCGACTTCTGAGCTCCATCCCCACCTTTCCATTTTAAGAGAGGGTCTCACTGTTTGCAGATGCAGAACTGACCTTAGGCTCCTCCAGCCTCAGCCTCCTGGAGAAGCTGTGCTTTGTTTTTGTGTTGAGGTTAAACCCAGGGCCTCCCCATGCTCGGAAAGCAATCTATGGCTGAAGCGTAGCTCCGCGCCAGGTGTCACCTCTGTCCCAGAGGCTAAACCAAGGCTTCCCACCTGGATTAGCTCCCAGCACAGCCGGGAAGCTCCTCCTGAAAAGGGCTGGGGCCAAGGATCTGTCACTCTACCCAATTTCAGCCAGTGATTGGATGATGTTAGCTGTCAGTCACGATGCCGAGGCGGGCCTGGAGGCCATCCATCCGGGTCGCTGGGGGGAACTGTCCAATCAGTGCGCAGAGGAAAGGGAAGGGCGGGCTTCCGCAAGCTCGCGGGCTTTTCTTCCTCTCCGACTGGGCTACTGCTTCTTCAGGCCCCGTGTTCTCTGCTCCAGGGACCCAGGTGACTCTGCGCTGCCCGTGTTCCCGGGGATCTCGGGTGCCCGGAGGTTTCTCCAGAGGACGTCAGGTCACCAGAGAAGCCAAAAATGGTGAGTTCGCGGAAGGTAGGCGGTCAGCACTTGCCTTGGGGCCCGCGGGCGGGTGAGCTGCCGAGTGCCGGCGGAGTCCCCGCTGTCGGGTGGCCCTGGGCCCTGTCCCCTGGTTCCCTGGGTTTGGAAGGGAGGCTCAGCTCCCAGGTGTCCCCTTTGCTCCCTACCTGTGGCCCGCACTCACTTTTCCCAACGTGTAGGAAGCAGGGCCATAAATGCACCTTCCTTCTCCCAGTGGAGCTCCCCCCAGTGGAGGTCCTCCAAATTGCAGGCGCCTCCTGCCTTCTAAAAGGCCACCTTCCCTCCACCTCACAGCTCAGCCAGACATTCCTTCTTCCCACTCCTTTCAAATGGACACCTCTGATAATTGTCATTATCGCTTAGTGAAATATTGGAAAGAATCAATCAATCTCCCTTCCCCCCTCCCTTTCCCCCTCCCTTCCCCCCTCCCTTCCCCCCTTCCATGTGTTTTGGAATCTGGGCTGGCCTCCAACTTGTGATCCTCCTGCTTCAGCCTCCCCGCCTATCTGGGATTAGAGGCTTGTGCCAATGTCCCTGGCGAGAAGAACACTTTTGAAAGCATTTATTTTCTATTTGTGAATATTATCCTTGAGGGGAAAGAATGATCACTTAACACTTCCTTGTGTTCTGTGAAAATAACTGCTTTAAAGGGAATAAGGAGGTTGTTTATAGATCCCAGGGATATGGAATCCTGGGCTACATCAATCGAGTATAACTGCTCCCTTTTCTGAGAGTCCATGATGTAGAGTCACACCAGTCCTGTAGTTAGGTAAGCACACGGGGTAATCATGATGTACGGACAAAGGAGGCAAGGCACTGAAGATAGCTGTAAACAGTTTTATCTGGCTGCAGCCAGACTCAGAGGGCAGTGCTTTTGTTGTAATCAATCCATCAATCCCCTGAACCCCGAGTTCAGGTGGTTTCAGAATTTTATTCCCAGCATATAAGGGGAGGGTCTCAGAAGTTCACATTGTAATACCGGGACCCCCAAATAACTCTCAGACCACACAGTCTCATTCCAGTTAAGCCTTTGTTGGTGGCCAGTGGCAGACACTCTGCTCTCGAAAGAATGAGATGGTCAGAGTGGTGCCCCTGCCTTCAGTTGGCTCCATATTTAAGCACAAAAACCAGAAAAGGGAAGTTTGGGGGTTCAGGCAACGTAAGCAAGCCTGAAAGTTGTGGTCAGGTAGTCTCCAGTTGGCCCCATAGATCATTCTGTGTTCTTGGGGGAATTTTCATGAACAAAAGAATCCAAACTGCCCCAGTCATGAGCTTTTTGAGTGTCATGGCTGAGTTCACAAAGTGGAGTCACCATAGTCAAGTTGTCACATCACACACATAAAAGCAGGTTTTTGTTTCTCTGTTCTGGCCAAGTTAACCCTTCAAGGACAGCACCTGAGGAGGGGAGAGCTTCTTCTCCCCTTTGTTTCCTCCCCCACCAGCTGTAACCATGGAGCCCAGTTGGTGACTTCTCTGTGAAACCCAGCTCAAGGCCACAGGCCTTGTTTGCACATTTCTACAAACTACTATACTGGATACAAGTGTGTAAAAATCTAGTAAGGGGGAGTCCAGCACCTGGAGTGCTGATTTCTTCCAGACTAGCAGCCCAGTAAAATAGGGCAACACAAAAATAGGAAGTTTATCTACACTGAACTTTTTTGTGGACACTGTTTTGTTGACAGTCCTAAAATTAGCCATGGTGAAGATTTCTGGAGAAACCCTGTTAAAATTTTCTGTGAAAAAAGGGGATGCCACTGTAATAATGTCTGATTCCTTGACTGTCCTTCATCCCCAGCTCTTTTCAGTATGATTTTCAGAAAGGATCTGGCCATGGTGCCCAGCCTGGCCTGAAAATTGTGATTCTCCTGCCTCTGCTTCCCAATCTGTTGGGTTTAAAGGCATCGACAACCACAGCTACAGAAAATAGTTCATTTTAACCCAAATATTAATTATCATACTAAGGAACATGGATTCAAGTTACCCTGAATGATGTGTGTGTCCCTCCCTGGAAGAGATTACATCACTTCTTTTTTTCTTTCTGTTTCTTCTTTATTTTCTTTCCTTCCTTTCTTCCTTCCTTCCCCTTCCTCCCTTCCTTCCTTCCTTCCTTCCTTCCTTCCTTCCTTCCTCATACCAGGGATTGAACCCAGGGGCACTTAAACACTGAGCCACATCCCCAGTCCTTTTTATATTATATTTTCAGACATGATCTCACTAAGTTGCTGAGTCTGGCTTTGAATTTAGCAATCCTCTTATCTTTGCCTCTCAAGGTGCTGGGATTACAGTTGTGTGCCACTGTGCCTGGCCTCCATGAACTTTTATAAAAGAAACCGTGTATCACTGCGTTAACCAATTGCATTGGTAGGAACATCAGATTGGTGGGGTACAGAAAAAAAATAAAGAAAATTTCTTCTGTATGTCTGTTATTGCATTGTGAGCTTTGGTAGATTTTGGAGACGTCTGGTAGGGCTAGTGATATATTCTGAGAAGTTTTGAGATTGTGGTCTGATACAGAAATTAAGATGATTGGCTATTGAAGAGCTTAGGATTAGCCCAAGATAATGTTTGCTCTCCATACAGAACCCTGCCTTTCCACCCTCATGGTGGTCTAGTTAGGCAAAGTCAAGTACTCTGAAGGTTCTTTGATGGAGATGCAACTGTATAGAGAACTTGAGTTCACAGCTGTAAAAATCGTGTGCTTTTTCTTTTTTCTTCCTTAGGTGTAGACACCATGTCAGATTTCTTGGGCAGAGGTTCCCTTTGGACACGTCCCAGAGTCCCATGTCCTCAGCCACTATCCTCTCCTGGAGCTGCCACAGAGTGCCCACAGCTGCCCTATGCCTCTCAGGGTGAACAGAATTTCAGGCCCTGGGTCAGCTCCTCCTAGAGGACAGCCTGAGGTGTGGGGTGCAGCCTCTCAGGGAAGCTGCTGGGGGCCCTGGGCTGAGGAATCTCCTGGAAAAGGCCTCATCTAAACAGCTACTTCCTTGGGACCTAGTTTTCCCCAAGCTCTGTTCCCATTCCTTGGAGACAGGTGGACAGTCAGCCTGTGGATGCGGGTGCTGAGGGGCCAGGTCAGCAGTGACTCCTGCCCTTTCAGTCTCTCACAGTGTGAAGGAGCAAAACCTCTCCCAGAGCATAAGGACCACCCACCCCAGGGCAGAGCTGTGCAGACCTGAAAAGCCTCATAGACTGGAGTCATGGTCCAGGTGCCTGGGAGGGTGATCCTGGATGCTTTCCATGAGCAAGACCAGGAGGTATCATGTCCCAGCTGTCAGGGACCTTCCCTGCCCCTTGAGCCTGACACATCTGTGCTCTCTCAACACCGAAGCTTTCTGTGTATCACTTTGAAATGATGTGCTCACTTATCTGAGGCCCAGGTTTATTTATTCAGAGCCAAATGGGATGGACTATTATTAAAGAGGCAAGAGAGAGGTGGATTAAAATTCAGCTTTTTTTTTTTTTTGGTTAAAAATCCTAACTTACAGCCAGATCCAGTGGTGCACACCTGTGATCCTTCCTGCTCCAGAGGCTGAGACAGGAGTGTTTCAAATTTGAGGACAGCCTTAGCAACTTAGCGAGACCTCATGCAACCTGGTGAGACTGCGCCTCAAAATAAAATATAAAAATGACTGGGGATGTGGCTCAGTAGTAAAATGTCTCTGGGTTTACTCTCGGGGGCATCAAAGAAAAAAGAAAAAGAAAACATCTAATTACCTAATTTACCTTTTGCTACCCCTGAGTATGCATAGAAAGTTTGTAAGATTCAAATTTGTCTTTTCATGATTTCAAATTGAAATCCAACTCTAGATTCCAAAATACCACGTAAGATACAGAGAAACTCTGTCTTACATTATTGCTGCAGAATTTGAGTCCAATTCTACAAAAATAGTGGTGGATAAATTTATGAATGTGATTTCATGATAACTAGTATCTGTCCTTCACAAGGTGATGAATTTGACAAGGATGACAGTTTTTCACCGTTATTGTCTGAACTTGGCAGGTTCATGTTAACTGTGTAGTTTTTTGTTATCAGGAATGGAACCCAGAGGTGCTTAACCACCAGCCCCTTTTAGATTCTTTGTTTTGAGACAGAGTCTTGCTACATCATCTAGTGCCGGTGGGGTTACAGGTGTGCACCATCACACCCGTCTTCATTGTAAATTTTAAGGACAATTTTGGCAATACCTTGAATATCCAACTGTAATCATTTAATCACTGAATATCAGTGAAAGAGTAAATGACACCTGTTTTCTGCAAAAGAGAGATCCATGTGTCTAAATAAGGGTGCTGATCCCCTCACCATGTCACCTAATTCCTGTTCCCTCCCAACTGCCTCCTCGTAGGGCCACCCCTTTGGGAGCTAGCCTTTTAGCTTATGAAATTTGGGACTAACATAAATGCTCTCTCGATTCTCTGTCTTGTACAACATTTTGGCTGGACCTAGATACAGTATACTATTTCCAATTTTTTGTAGAGTATTTTTTTGTTGTTGCTGTAGTTGGACACAATACCTATTTATTTATTTTAATGTGGTGCTGAGGATCAAACGTAGGGCCTCTCATGTGCTAGGCAAGCACTCTACTGCTGAGCCAGAATCCCAACCCTCCTATTTCCATTTTTAGATGTAGTTTTTCTTAAGTTTACCTCCAGAATACAACAAACCATGCCCTAAATTTCACAGAATTTACTGAAACCCTCAGTGTTTTTTCAGAGATTTAGATCATGGGAACATTCAATCTTCTTTGTGAGAAAGTGTGGTGTCTTTCCATTGATTTTGTTGTGTTTTTATGCCTCTAATTGTGTACCTTTTGTATTATAATCATTTTTATCTCTCATTACATGTATTTTACTAAGCTACTTTCCAGCCCAAGGGAATTAGTATTGTAGACTGTTGTTTATTTATTTGCTTACTTATTGAGTGCTGGGAATTTATGCCATGGACATGCTCATGCTTAGTTATCTTCCAGAAAAAAATTTCAATTTGTGAGCAACGTTCTGGAGGTGGGCAGGTGTTTTACTGGGGGATAAACGTACAGGCACTCGACCACTGAGCACATCCTCAGCCCTTGTTCTTATTTATTTATTTTTTCTTTTTTTTTTTTTATATAGTTGTAGATGGATAGAATACCTTTATTTTATTTATTTTTCTGTGGTGCTGAGGATCATACCCAGTGCCTCACACATGTTAGCAAGTGGTCTGCCACTCAGCTACAGTCCCAGAGCCCCTTTTTATTTTTGATAAAGACAAGTCTCACTAAATTTCTGAGTGTCTTGCTATGTTGCTGAGACAGGCCTCAAACTTTTGCCATTTCCCTGCCTTGACCTCCCTAGTGGCTGAAATTACAGGTGCACACCACTCCACCAGCAGTTGGAATGAGTTTTGAAGACTTATCAACCAGTTTCTTTCCAGATGAAAATAGTATTGAAAATCAGTTTTCTTGCTTTTGTTCATACTTTTGAAATTTGTAACTGTGACTCTTCCTCTTTGCTTTATTGTTTGCATTATTATGAAAAAGGTATTTAGCATATAATATTGTTTCTTATGTATACATTTTTAAAACTTCATGGATTGGTAGTTTCTTTACTTCTTTATTAGATAAACTTTTGTTTTTATGAGCAATTTTAGGCTTACATAGTTTATTAGTCAGTGTTCTCTAGAGGAAAATTATCAAGAGGAAGTATGATTATCAAAGGGGATTCATTAGATTGGCCTACTTGACCCGAAGGTGGATGTCCACAGTGGCCATCTGCAGGCTGGAGAGCTTGAGAAGTAGTAGCTGCAGAGTCCCAGAGGCTGAAGCCAAGACACCATCCTATTGGATGGTGTTGCCTAGCTTAAGGAGGTTCTCCAGTTTGGCTCACTATCTCATATGCCCATCATTTGTAGACACACCCTCATGGACACACCCAGGCGCTCATTAATCTTCGGCATCCTTTAATCCAATCAAGTTGACAATTAAATGTGCCATTACACATAGTATCAAATACCCCTTCTCTCCAGCTGATAGTCTCCACTGTTTTCAACATATTGCATTGGTGTAGGGTGTTTGTTAGTTACTAAACCCGTGTTGAACATTTGATTAAGAGAATGCATGAAGCAACATTTAGGATAAGCCAAAGTTCATCCTTTACTTTAGGGTTCCTCTTCCTTGTGATGTGATTGTGTGTGTCACGTCGTATACAAGATAATGTCATACAGAAGAGTTTCACTGCTCTGGGAATCCAGTGTTCCACCTGTCCATCACTCCTCCTCATTCCTTCCTCCCTCTCTGCTCCCTAAGTCCCTGGCACCCATCAGTTCTGCTAGTGCATCTATAATGTTGCCTTTTCCAGAATGTTCTTGACTTGGAATCTTACTGCACTTGGCCATTTCAAACTGGCTTCTCTCACTTACCCGTCTGCCTTTAAGGGTGCTGTATCTTTCCAGGCTGAGAGCTCATTTTCTGGGTGATGCTCTTTGGTGTGGTTAAACTGCAGCTTGTCCATTCAGTATTGAAAGGTGCATCTTCCTTGCATCTAGCTTTGGGCCGTTCTGGATATGGCTGCTGTAGTCACTGCAGTGAGGGTTCCTGTGCCCATAATTTTCACATTATTTGCATAGACACCTGGAGTGTGATGAGTTAATTGTACAGTTTTTTGCATTTATGATTCAATTTTGCATTTATGATTATGAGCATGCTTCATAGTCTTCTTTTCTATTTAATACTTTTCTTTATCTATTTAATTTGGATAATATGGTAACTTATGCCTCAGGAAGACTTAGGAGGTGTTAACTCAGCTTTTATGTTCTGGAAAAAAAGTAGAAAACTGGTGGCAGTTCTTATGTGCCTCATGGAAGCCCGTTTGAGATGTCAGAGCCTTGCCTTGCCTTTTTGGGAAGTAATTAGTTATTGAGTCTGTTTTTTTCAGCAGCCATGGGCTCATCTGTTTTGTGTATTTCCCCTTGTGTGTAAGTTGTAGGAGATTGTCTCTCTCAAAGAAATGGTCCAGTTTCTGCAGTTGTCTAATTTGTGTCAAGCAGGTTTATGAGAATCTTGAAGTCCCAATGCATTGTTGATGATGACATTTTTAAATCTGTTAGTAGGTTTTCAGTCCTCAATGCTTTTTTCTTTAATGATATTGTGTATTTTACAGTTTTATTTCTTTCTTTTTATGTGGCAGTGAGGATTGAACCCAGTTTCTCCCAAGCACTAGGCAAGCCACAACCCCAGTCCCTGTCCTCTGTATTCTTAGCCTTATGTCAGTTAATCAGTGATGCTGATGTTCATGAAGAACTTGATTTGCAGACTGCGGATTTCCTAATTGTGGTTTCACCAACACCTTCTCTGTTACCTCCCTGTGGTTAATTTAGGTTTACCTTGCTCTTCTTTCTCTGTTTTTTTGAAGTGGCAGTTTCATTGATTGCTTTTAGCTCTCTTTTCTGAAATGTGTGTTGGATGACTTAGATACCAATACAGCGCCACCTCTGGTATTCTCTATGAATTTCCTATGATGGACTTTTATATTTTTTTCTTTCAAAATGGTCACCTTTTCTCTTGAGTCACCTCTTTGTCCTGTGTCTGTTCAGAGCCCTGTGTTTCATGTCCCCTTCCCTGGAGGCTTTTCAGTTTCTTCTGATCTGATTTCTGCTTTAGCTCTCATGTTCTTTGAGCATACATGGAATTTCACTGGCGGTGCACTTGTAGGGTGTGGTTTATGTCCTGTAGAGTGTTGCTGTGACCCTGAGACCTCAGTGTGCTTCCCGTTTGGTTGAAGGTCCATGAAGCCCTCCTGTCTGCATCATTGTCCTGACAGAGTTGGGCTGATGTCTCTGAGGGTAATTGTGGATTTTTCATTGTTTGTGGTGGTTCTGTATGGTTTCTGTCCTTGAGTATGCTTCTGTGTAAGTGGCAGGGACATTTTCTTTTTGTCTGTTCCATCACTGTGCAGACATCATAGCATGCTTACAGATGTGAATGGTGGCCTCTTTCACACCCAGACTGTGTGGGATAGTTCAGAATTCTGGGCTACACACTTGTTGCTTTACCACACTGTGGAAGAGCTTCTGCCGTAGGTTTGTTTGCACCACCATTGCTACAGGCACAATGAATCTGTTTCACAACAGACAACCATTGCATATGTGGCCCAACCTTGATCAAAATGTCCTTGAACAGAACATTGGTATGTGTCTCATGACTGTATATTATGGTAGTGAACCGGCTGCAGTTAAGAAGAGTTTGACAATCATTGGACATTCATTGTTGCTGTGAGACTTAGAAAAATAGTGCCTGCTGTTTATTAAGAAGATTGTTTTGAGAGTTATAAAACTTTGTAAGGCTGTTGTTTGAACAAGGTGACATTTTTGTTTTTTTTTTTTTTTAGAGAGAAGAGAATTTTTTTTTTTTTAATATTTATTTTTTAGTATTCGGCGGACACAACATCTTTGTTTGTATGTGGTGCTGAAGATCAAACCCGGGCCGCACGCATGCCAGGCGAGCACGCTACCTCTTGAGCCACATCTCCAGCCCATGGTGACATTTTTGGGTCATTGAGTTATTTCTAAGACACGTGCCACCTTTCCACTTACCCCGATTCTGCTTTGACAGTAACCACAAGAAATTGTCAAATTGTTGTGTTTATTAATAAATAAATTAATCAAATAGAGAACTCATGTTTGTTTTGGTCATTTAATTGTAAGCTAGTTGACTAAATTTGTTCTGGAGTAAAGCACCTGCAAACTTCTAGTTGTTCTTAGTGTACTCACACATAATGAGCTCAATCTCCAGTTAACACATTGTGACCACCTGTGTGAAATATTGTCTAAATGTTGTCTATGAAGGAATCTCCTTAGTGACCCCATGCCCAGAGGGTGGGAGTGTGGGCTGGTTCTAGGCATTTCTTTAAGTATGGAACAATAGACTTTCAGAGGAAACAAGACATCAGTAAATACCATGTTGCCTATATTAACCTTGTAGGTACAGGGAGCCACCGTAGTTGGCAGAATCTCTCTCAAATGCTTAGTTTCATGATTCCTGCATTTTTCTACTCATCACCTTTCTTTTCTAAAGATAAGTACTATCAGAAGTGCTTATATTAGCCCTGTACCACACAGGACATTTCTAGGACATGTAATAGAGGTGCAACCATTAAAGAAGTTAGGAGTGATCTGGGAGTCTGTCTTACTTCCTGTGAACTCACCAAAGGAAGGGTATAAATCACTATGATGTTTGCCTTCTGAGTAGCCAATTTCTAGTGTTGGAATGGGTGTAAGAAATTGAGTGCAGTAAAGATTTGATGGACCAAATCATGGAATTAATCAGGAGGCCAGGGAATCATGTGAACATCATGCATGTTGAGTGCAGATTTCTCATGCTGTCATTCTCTCCTGGCCTTCACTATACATTTGTGGGATATTTTAGATCTCAGTGACCTTTGAGGATGTGGCTGTGAACTTCACCAAGGCGGAGTGGTCTTTTCTGGATGCTTCCCAGAAGAACCTTTACAGAGATGTGATGCTGGAAGTCCTCAGAAACCTGGCTTGTATAGGTAATAATGTTGGTTTTAAAATTAATCAAATAGAGAACTCATGTTTAATATTTTGGTCATTTATGTAGAAGGTGAAAAGGAAATCAGTTGGTGAATTTTTGAAGCATAAATGGCACCTACAGTTTGGCAAAGCATTTCTAGCTCCTAAATATTCATAAAGATTGTTATGTTCTCTCATTTTAGGAAACAAGTGGGAAGACATGACCACTGAAGATCAGATTGAAAACTCTGGAAGCAACCCCAGGTAACTGTACTCACAAGAGGAATTCGTGAGGGAATCTGAGAACTGTCATATGATTTTGAAAGTAAACCAACCGAAGAAGTATGCATAATTTGAAATGTATTTATTCTTATAATATTTTTTACCAGAAATATATACTTATCTGTAACAGGTATTCAGTCTTTTCAAAGTATTTGACATGCAAAAAGTAGTATGAAATTGCATATGTGAATATCACTATGTGAATAATAGCCATAGAGAAGCTGTATTGCAAAGGATTGTTTCCTTTCAATTTCTTTATTTTCAGGCAACTTTAACAAGCCAGAAAATCTAGCCTTTACCTGATGTTGGTAGAAATGTAAAGACCTATAAATAAATAGAAAATTGTGAATGAGTTAGGTATCAATTATGTGCTGGTCACTTCTTCTTCAAAGAAGTCCTATGGTAAACTTCAAACTTTCCCCACAGAATAGTGTGGGGAAAGCTTCAAATTGATTCCAATTCTTAATGAAACAAAGAAAAATTTTAATAGAGTAAATCCATGTGACTTCATTATGTGTGCAAAAGATTTCATATGTCCTTCATTCCTTCATAGGCACATCACATCTCACTCTGGACAGAAATACTATAAGCATGAGGAATGTGAAGAGAAGCCATGTGAATTTAAACAATATAGGAAATCTGTGGTTTCTCTCAAAAGTGTTCACACACAAATGTTGTTCCAAACTGGAGATAGACCATATGAAAGTACAGTATGTGGGAAAGTCATCAGTTGTTCCAGTGACATTCAAAGACATGAAGAAACTCATACTGGGTGGCAACCCTATGAATGTCAACAATGTGGTGAAGCCTCTTGTTCTCTCCCAGGTGTTCAAAGACACATGATAACACACAGTGGAAGTAAACCTTTTCAATGTGAGGTATGTGGGAAAGCCTTTCATTTTTCCTCTTTATTTAGAAGACATGAAAGAACTCATTCTGGAGAGAAACTCTATGAATGTAAACAAGATGGTCGAACCTTTATTTCACACACAAGTCTTCAAAAGCACAGGATCACACACACAGGGAATGCACATGTCAAATGTAAGGTATGTGGGAAAGACTTTGCTTATCCCAGATTACTTAGAAGACATCAGAAAACACATACTGGAGAGAAGCCCTATGAATGTAAGCAGTGTGGCAAAGCCTTTGCTAGATCTGGTGACGTTCACATACCTGAAAGAACTCACACTATAGAGAAGCCCTATGAATGTAAGCAGTGTGGCAAATCCTTTGCTAGATCTGGTGGCCTTCACATACATGGAAGAACTCATACTGGAGAGAGGCCCTATGTATGTAAGCAGTGTGGCAAAGCCTTTGCTAGATCTGGTGACCTTCACACACATGAAAGAACTCATACTGGAGAGAAGCCCTATGAATGTAAACAGTGTGGCAAATCCTTTGCTAGATCTGGTGGCCTTCACCTACATGGAAGAACTCATACTGGAGAGAGGCCCTATGTATGTAAGCAGTGTGGAAAAGCCTTTGCTAGATCTGGTGGCCTTCATACACATGGAAGAACTCATACTGGAGAGAAGCCCTATGTATGTAAGCAGTGTGGAAAAGCCTTTGCTGCATCCCGTCAGCTTCATGCACATGGAAGAACACATACTGGAGAGAAGCCTTATGAATGCAAACAATGTGGAAAAGCCTTTGCTACATCCAGTCAGCTTCATGCACATGGAAGAACACATACTGGAGAGAAGCCTTATGAATGCAAAGAATGTGGAAAAGCCTTTGCTCTGTCCCATCAGCTTAATGCACATGGAAGAACACATACTGGAGAGAAGCCTTATGAATGCAAAGAATGTGGAAAAGCCTTTGCTCTGTCCCATCAGCTTCATGCACATGGAAGAACACATACTAGAAAGAAACCCTTTGGATGTCAACAATGTGGAAAAACATTTGCTTCATCCCGTCGTCTTCACGTACATGGAAAAATGCATACCGGAGAAAAGCCCTATGATTGTGAACAATGTGGAAAAGCCTTTACTGCTGCCTCTTCCCTTCGGATACATGAACGAACTCATACTGGAAAGAAGCCCTATGAATGTAAGTGGTGTGGGAAAGCCTTCACTCAGTCCTCTCAACTTCACTCACATGAACAAACTCATACTGGAGAGAAGCCCTATGATTGTAAACAGTGTGGCAAAGCCTTTGCTAGATCTTGTGACCTTCACAGACATGAAAGAACTCATAGTGGAGAGAAGCCCTATGTATGTAAGCAGTGTGGCAAAGCCTTTGCTGCATCCCAACAGCTTCATAAACATGGAAGAACACATACTGGAGAGTAGCCCTATGAATGCAAACAATGTGGAAAAGCCTTCACTCAGTCCTCTTACCTTCACTCACATGAACAAACTCATACTGGAGAGAAGCCTTATGAATGTCAACAATGTGGAAAAGCCTACACTACTGCCTTTTACTTTCGGATGCATAAACACACTCATACTGGAGAGAAGCTGTAAGAATGTAAGCAGAGAGGTAAATAGGGAGCCTACATCCTGGGAACAAATCTTTACTCCTCACACTTCAGATAGAGCCCTAATATCCAGAGTATAGAAAGAACTCAAAAAATTAGACAATAAGATAACAAATAACCCAATCAACAAATGGGCCAAGGACCTGAACAGACACTTCTCAGAGGAGGACATACAATCAATCAACAAGTACATGAAAAAATGCTCACCATCTCTAGCAGTCAGAGAATGCAAATCAAAACCACCCTAAGATACCATCTCACTCCAGTAAGATTGGCAGCCATTATGAAGTCAGACAGCAATAAGTGCTGGCGAGGATGTGGGGAAAAGGGTACACTTGTACATTGCTGGTGGGACTTAAAATTGGTGCAGCCAATTTGGAAAGCAGTATGGAGATTTCTTGGAAAGCTGGGAATGGAACCACCATTTGACCCAGCTATTCCCCTTCTCGGTCTATTCCCTAAAGACCTAAAAAGAGCATGCTACAGGGACACTGCTACATCGATGTTCATAGCAGCACAATTCACAATAGCAAGACTGTGGAAATAGGACATTTTGCAGTGACATTGCATGTAGGTGACCTTGCTCAAGGACCAGGGCGGATTAGGGTGTTCCCGGTTTAGGATAATCGGGTTTAGGGCGTTCCAGGTTTAAGATTATTCCTGCTGGGAATAGGGCGTATCCTGCTGCCTGAGTTCGGGAATAAAGAGTTGCTGTTTGAATCTACAAGCTGTGTGGTGGCTCGTGATTGTGTGCCCAGCCAGACTGCGGCATTTGTGCCCAGCCAGACTGCGGCACAGGCCTTCCAGTTGTTTTCAGAAGTAGTTTCTCCATGTACTGAGCATCTAAAATTAGTGACTTCTGTTCCAGGGAGTATATCCTAAACATCCAATTTCTATAAGCAACAGAGACTGAGCATGTGCAAATATTCATACATTACAAATAGTTGGATTTGCATTGTTTGTAACTGCTTCCAAAAACTAAAATTTGCAGTAGTCCTGTTAAAAATGTGTTAGAAATCACAGATTCCTGTTTCATCACAGAAAATACAGTACACTCTTCTAGCTACTTGACAGCCTGGAATGTAACACACTTGCCTCAGAAATTTAATGCATCAGTCAAATGAAAATTTTCCTTCACCCTAGCAGTCTTGTCAGAATGCCTATGATAAAAATCTGAAAGATAGGGGCTGGGGTTCTGGCTCAGTTATAGAGTGCTTCCCTAGCACATGGGAGGCACTGTGTTCAAGCATCAGAACCACATAAAAACAAATAAAATAAAAGTTATTTGTCTATCTATGACTAGTAAATAAATAAGTAAAATATTTAGAAGTAAAAAATAAAAATCTGAAAGATAGTAGGTAGTCCAGAGCATATGAGCATGGATATAAAGATTCACTTGTAAAAATGCTGGTGAGAATATAAATTAAATAAAGCTATTTTTGAAAATGTTATTAAGGTTCTTCAATAAGTTAAAATAAAAATGTCATATGATTCAGTAGTAGTAATTCTGGGTATGTATCTAAAAAAATGGAGTAATTAGATCATAGAAAAGACTACATTTACATTTTCATTGTAGTAATTTTCACAGAACCTGGTAAAAGAACTGAAGTACTTTTAAGGTAAATGGTAGGTTGGGCATAGTGTCACATACCTGTATTCCCAGCAGCTTGGGAGAGTGAGACAGGAGAATCATGAATTTAGAGCCAGTCTCAGCAACGTATCAGCCAGGCACTAAGCAAATCAATGAGATCTTGTCTGTAAATAAAATATAAAAAGGGAGCTGTATTCAGTGGTTGACTAGCTCTGATTTCAACATTTTCACATTGACCCTATGCTTTATTTTCCAAGAAGCAATTTACTTGCACCCTTTCTGGATTAACTGGACAGGATGTGCTACATTCTTTAACAAACTATTACCTACAGGAGAAGTGCAGTTTCAAAATAAAGTTTGTAAGAGGAACGCAAGTTACACTAAATGGGAGACATTCGTGATCTTGTTAAAAACCAGATTCTGGAACTCAGGGAAATAAAGATAATTTCTACTAACCATAAAATCTGCAAGAGTTTATGATTAAGAACTCAATTATAAATCATGAACATAAGGCTAATTAACCTAAAGTTTTCATGGCAGTGGATACTTGAGAGTTTGATATGATCCTGCTGTCAGTCCAAAGTCAAGAAGTGTACCTGGGCAGGATTCTTTAGAATCTTTTTTTAGATCTCTAATAAATTTGGAGAGAAAGAGAGCCATGCTCTTCT